TTATTATGTATTAATTATTTACATAATCAGTTGCTAGCCTTTATTTGTATTTCATCAATGCAGTTCTATTAATAACAATAATTTCGTGAAATGTATCAATACTAGTAACGGGGTATATGAAATAATTAAAGTACAAGGACTGATTTACCCGCCTAATTAATCGCGCGTATAATGAATGTTGTTCGTGTCCACGTATAGTTCTGGCTTGCAGCGCGGAATGTCAGAATAAACGCTGAGTGCCCAAAGGAGGTCTTGTCAGCTGTTTTCGATTGAAGAGAAAAAGGAGAGAAAGTGTGTGTATGTGTATGATGTGTGAGAGAGAGAGAGAGAGAAAGCGGGATATGTTTGATATATCACCCTTTACGTACCTGAATTCTGAAGACAGCTTAAAAATCAGAAAGGAAAACATAACAAGAGAAAGACGGCCTATCGAGACGAAGAGGGCGAATAAAAATAATCGAAATGAAAAGAGAAAAGGAGACGCGAAAGAAACATTTGCGGGAAACAAGAAAACAAAGAGAATTCCACGCGGTGGAATTTTAGCAGTAAAAGCTTACAGGGAGAATTTCACGTGGGATGAGAGAGAAAGCCAGATAGAAGATAATTTTAACGAGAAGGTGAGAGAAAAAGAGACATGGAGGAAGATGGCTGTAGATAGGAAAGGCAAGATCAGTAAAGGACAGGAAGAGAGAGCAAGAGAGGGAGGGGTGGATGCTGAGCTGTATCGATCCCTCCTCTCCTCCGTCCGTGACGTCACTGACGTACCCCTCCAGCGACGGTGATGATACGCTTGTCCTTCGATCACAGGCGACAGACTTAACTTTAGAGCCATTCATTCAACGGCTTCGCCGACGATATTTATTTAAGCGAGCGGTCGCGTGGCATTCACCGTCGGACACATTGTATGTATTTTCCTTCGCTTTCTTTGACACACCTGGCGTTGTGAATCTGCCTGCCGTTCATCAGTATGCGCGACCGATCAATTGCGTGATTAACTCGATGCAACCGACCGTTTCTAATATTGTCGCTTAAAGATAACGATATCGCGTAACTAACATTTCTGGCGACATTTTTATTGTCCCGACATTTATTTTAGCAATATTTTTAGCAACTCGCTTGTTGCATCAACAACTATTATCTTTTACATTGATTGATGTGACAGTTTTTTTTTTTTTTTTTACAACCAAGAATATTTTCCTGATTTTAGATTTATTAAATTTAGCAGCGTGTAATGCTGCAATTTGCAAATTCAGGAAAATCCGCGCATTCTTGACATGGAGGATTTTATTCCGGATTTTCAAATTTACACTTAACGAGAATTCGATAAAGAGAATATTGAATAAAAATTTGTGGTTGTGAAATATAGCTTAAAATATTGGAAATATAATATAAAAAATGGTGTCAGTATTATTTTCAAAATTATCTTTTTGTTGAAAATTCTTAATTCTAGAAATTCCCTTGAAAATGTGTTTGAAAGTATCAATATATTATTTTAGCGCGTCCATAATATTTGGGTTGAAGATTGAAATGATCGGCTTCAATCTTTGTTCCCTAGATTACAAGCCAGATTGTGTTTCGCTTACATAGGACGGAGAGATTTAGCTATTAATTTAAATTGTAATACAATATGAATCTTACACGAGATTAACATTAAATTACTCATCTCGCAGGAATAATATTCACCGATGGAAGTACCGATACCATCAGCACGCGATGACGAAGTCAGTGATGGTACTTTAGGGCATATCGATTCAATGTATAAAACGGCTGTTCGAGAGATAGGCGAGCTGCGCAAATTCTGTTAAATTTGTGGCCTTACCGGCTATTAACTTTGTGTATATATCGCGAGTGAGCATATGCATACACATCGTTTCCTGTTACATATATATATATATCCCGATAAAGTTACCCGACGAGGTCAGGATATCGTTTTGCATCAACTACCTCTTGAAACTCGACTAATAATAATTTTCGCGGATGACATAACTACGAGTGAATATTTCTTCAGTGTCTTTGAGCGATAAGAAATTTTATCGCGTTGATCGCTTAGTACGTAGCTTGTTTGGCCAAATATCGAATTTGACATTAACATTATGGCGTTTAATTTTAGTCGATGCGTATTTGCGTGCGCGCGGATGCTAAATAAATTCATAAGTTCCATACGTGGTACATTTCGATAATCGTATCGCGATTCAACGAATTTAACTTTTTTTTTTTCTCAAACGCAAGTCGATATAAATGATTATTGTTAAATTTAATTCTTTTGTATAAATGTTAGATTTTTTAGGTCTTTTTAATAAATATCTTTGTGATATAAAGTATAAGTTTGCAATTGGAATTTTCAAGACGAAAGAAAATGCGCGTATTTTCCTACAATGTCTCGCCAAGGATTGTCGTTGAATAGAATCGAATAAATTGAATAGAACGCGGAAAGTTCAAAGTATATGGAAAAATCTTTGAAAAACACTGCGATTTGTATCGTGCATCCCTCCTTCAATTTATCGAATGCGCGGAGATTGAGATCGACGTGTTTCTCGAGACGGACAGGAAGATTCCATGCTCGTAGTTGTTTAAACAACGTATTTCCCCAGACACTTCCGTATCTTGGCCAGATTGTGATTGCCTGGAACCGGAGAGGAGGTTGCGGGTATAGCAAGGTCGCGAAAACACAAACCGAGCGCGATCTCCGGTGTACTTTAACGGGGGGAGCCCTCTCGCTCTCTTCCCCGCGAAAGAGTATCCACGGCGGAAATTTTATTTTCGGACTTTTTAAATATATACGATACTACTCTCTGCCCGAGCCAAGCTAGGCGCCCGCTTTTTAATACTATTTTGTATACTGGAGGTCCGCGATTCGAAAGCGTACACATAATCTCCCGCTCGTTATATCGAGGGTAACGGAAATAGAATTTGATTTACAATTGAAAAAATGTGCTTCCATTCTGACATCTAATGTGCCCGATTACTTTGCTCGAAGGATTCTTACGCAGAATAGTTATCTCACAATGTCTTGATTTTAGCAGATTCTTCGAGAAGTATGTCTATCTATCTTCCCTCAGCGAAAATACACAGACTATCTTTCGTTCAACTGTCTCTTTAAAAAGGACGCTTTTTTCGCAAGTAATGAAAAAGTTGATTACATATTGTGCAAGATATGCATCTTGAATATTTTCCATATCTTTTCTTTTATTTGTGAGAATTTTATTTAAACGAGGGTAAGAAAGAAGAAGAATTTTCGCTGGCCAAATCCGCGAAAGGATCCAATGTGTGGGAATGTTTCGTTACGATCCGTACGGAACAAAAGAGGAAAAGTCATATCGAAAAGAGGAAAGAGAGATAGAAACTACGCGTGGAGGAACGAATATCATCTTCGCGAAATTCGATACGTTGCATAGTTTACAGCGACAACTGGGTCGTGCCAAGTTAGATGCGAGATCACTCATCCGCGAATAAATATAATACACACACACACATAAAAGTGGAGAAAAGGTCCGATTGAGCGGAACAGAGACAGACAGGGCAAAGGGATATATGATGGACAGGAGAGCTCTTCTCTTTTTATTTCTTTTCCCTCCCTCTCTTCTCGTTGGACGGGGATCGAAAATAAAAGCCACGGGTCGCGGTCAATGTGGTTTAATATTGATTCAGACCGGATTCACGCGAACTTCGCTTGAACCGGAACACCGCTACCGTTTTAACTATCTATCTAGTGCCCGTACTTTGTTTTCGGAATTGGTTTAAAAGTCACCGCAGGGAGTTTCCGTTTTATCTCGATAAAAAAAAAAAAAAAAAAAAAAGCGATTGATCGCGCGAAACGTATGTTCTTCGCCAAGTAAATTGAAATTAATTCCATTAATGCAAATAACGATCGCACTGAATAGTACACGGCAAAGATCGATGCTCGAACGAGTTCATAGACCTCACGTAGGGGATTCCAGACCGACCAACGAATTCCATTGTGAAAATAAAAATATCTGATGTTCGCTTTGTAAATACGTAATATCAATAGGTGAAATACGCGCAACGTTGAATTGTCGAAAGTATAAATTTCACTCGCTTTGTGATAACGATAGTTTTCATGATTTGTAGTATTTGAAAATTTTCCGTCTCTCAGATTATTTACAACAGTTTTCGCGCATTCAATCGAATCCGGCCGCGAATGCAAATTTCATTGTTCCCGTTCCGGAACTTCGTAACTTTGAATTTTTCCGGGTAGTCATTCATTACGCGCATACATGCATACAAGAATCGGGTCCGATTGTCCATACGAACGCGCTCTCGTATTCGTCGTAAGACACGTGTAGCACAGAAATTGTTATTGCAACTCCGTACAATGACAGGCATAGATATTATTCAGGATAGTCTGGCGATTGCTGATTTCAGTTGACAATGCGATCTACGTGGCATACGCGTAATGAAGGACGCATATCGCGTTACACGTGTTTATATTACGTCACGTCACGTAGCTATCACGCGCGCGATGCACCTTGCGTTTATCGTCACGTATTATTAAATTCCCAATCGGTTTAATCCACACATACACATCGACGATTGCCGTTCCAATACGCGATCTTCGTAATATTTGTTGAAATCCCTGATGCGTGACGATTGAGCTGGTTTAGTCGATCGAAAAATTCGAGGAGCAATTGGGAAATGTCAATGTTTGGAGAAAGAATCGCTTTGTTAAATTAATGAATCGTCGGGTGGAGTTCCGAATAGGTGAACCCTCCGATTTTTTTGAAACTACACTATTTTTTGTATTTTTGAACGCTGATTACGAATATGATAATGAAAATTTGCGACAAGGTCATTTTCAAGGTCAAAACTCAAACGTCTTATTGAAGCACTTTTTATTACAAAATTAATCGACAAGATAAAGATAAAAATCTGGAATTATTTATTTATTATTAGACACAGAAGTAATGTAGAAAATTGTTATTATGAATATTGCAAAACTTTTCTGGCAAATATCCATGGAGCTTTCGTTTCTAGTAATAAGTATAAGCGTCATATCGATTTTCGAGAAATAGTTTTATTGGAACCCGAGCTGGCCATGGGTACGGAGCCTGTATATGGTCGCTTTAGTTTTATCTGAATACTTTGGATTCATCGCTCGTGGCGTCGCTGCCAAACGGCGTCTTAAATTTTCTATAACCAAGAGAGCCCGTCCGTTTCCCTTAATAGACGGGGTTGCTTATACGCCAGGTCCTGAGAATTGATTTCACCAATTCCAGCTCATCTGCAATTCCATAATTTTAATCGAATTTAATGTCGCTTTTAGAGATCTTGTTCTGAATATTTTTGCCCGTGTCATTTTAAGCTCGAAAAGTAGTCAAGTTCATTAAATTGAAATGTTCTTTCGTTGTGCATAACTACATCAAAAATTCCAAAAATAAATATTATAGATATATTAATAGATATAAGTCAGATTAAATGCAAATATTTTGAATATATAAGGTAAATTTTTTATAAATAATAGGAAACACTTTGTTATAAACGTTTTCTTGAATTGAATTTATTTATTCTGTTAATTTTTTGAACTTATCTTTGTTATCGAGATGTAGCTTAATTAAATTAAATCAGCTAAGAAGTGTGATAAGAAATGAATTCGCGTGGTATTTTTACATAAGTTTTGCATAACGCTGCTGCATTTCATGCACAGAGATTAAGTCGCAATATAACGCACGAAGAAAGTAATACAGCAACTCTTACCGGCATTGATTTGTCTGCCAGTAAAATGATTCGCAATATTCGTCGACTCTGGGAATGACGGCCCAGCTTCCGGATGTTGTTGCAGATTCTTGGCGCTAGATGAATTATAGTTGTCTCTACTTCGGGAAAACACTGCTCTATTCCTTTCCTTTTTCATATTTTGTTTATTCCTGCGTAAATGTAGCGTGCAAACATTTATAACTGCGACTGTGCAGCAATAACTCATTGCGATAAAATAAATTGAAAAATATGGTCGATGGAAGATAAATATGGACAATCGTAGTTCACCGAAAACGAGGGTACACGATTATAGAAATGGGAATGCAATAAATCGAAGCATGATCCCGATAATAATGTCGAACTCGATTCTTTTGAGAAGAAGGAAATTATTCTTATTTGTCATCAGAGATAAATCACATCTCTCTTTTTTTTGTAACTCTTATTTATGACGAATCAGACTTAAAATGTAATGATATATCGCGAAAACATATTTAAGAATAACAATATTCTGTATTTAGATTAATGAGAATGTAAGTGAGAGAATGTATGCATTTTTTTCTTTTCTTTTTTTCTTTCTTTTTTTTTTTTAAGATAAATTATCTTGGAAGAAATTAATTTCTGATATTAAATTGCTGAAACGTTAAGTGAATTTTTACTTCTAACTATTGAAGGATTACTACGTAGAATTATATCTCGTATGTGCGATGGACCTTTAGAATCACGTCGAGATATATTCACACAAGTGAGAATTCTTGTGCTACGCTTATATTACGCGGCATGCGAATAACGGCGTCAATAGGTCAGAGGTACACGGAAGGTACGATCGACGGGAGATCTGCGTAACGAGAGAGGGATAACCGCGTATGCGTTCCTAAAAAAAGAAAGGAAGGAAGGAAAAACGGATAAATCGATTGACTAAATTAGCGCTGGGTTGTGGAACGGGGCGCGTTTAAATAGCGTGTACAAAGTTGTAACTGCGTACGAGAAGGGAGGGGGAGGGGGACAGTTCGTGAAAATCTCGATCTTCCTCGGTTTCTATGATAATCGATCTAGCTCATGCGATTTAACGCGATATATGTGTATATTAACGACGTTTCTTTATAAAGACATTGTCGTCTAGTGAAGGAGAAAAGTTATCTCCTGGCGAAGGATTGGCGCGATGCCAAGCACGTTGCAAGATTCGCCGTCTTTGTCGCACGAACTCCTTGCACCCAGAGTTGTCGACCTATTCTATTCTGACGGCGATCGTGTTGTCCTTTCGGGCGTAATGACGTTTGCAAACACAACCTGCCAACCGAGAACTCGTCGGCTATCACGACGGCGTTGACTTGAAGAGAGAAGCGGAATATCGGAGGAATTATCTCCTTTCTCCCGTTTATATCTTAATAAAGTCTTCGTAAAATGACGGATAAAATGCATTTTCATGCACGAAGTCGAGAGAGATATTAGTAAGAATTAATAATAATAAATAAACAATATATATATATATATCTCATTAATTAATAAATTAATAATAATATAGTGAATATTTCACAAACACATGCACACATTTGAGTGTAAATATTGCTTAATTACATTATTCTGATCCCGATTTGAAAAGAAATGAACGATCTGAAATATATTACATGAAAGTTTGCAATATAAACATGAAGCGGCATTTGGAAATTATATCATGAGCACGATTTTCCTTAGAAATATAGCAATCTCTGTATGTGTCTTAATAAATCATAACGGACGAGTAATGAGTATATGATTCATATATGTGAAAGTCCGCTTAAAATCGGCGATAAAGTCAAGTATCATAATAACGCGACAGAAATTTATAGATTTGCAGCAGGTTGCGCACGCTCCTACGATATCCTTTTAATCCTTTCAATCCCTTAAGGTTTAATGTTAAAATTTATGATATTGTCTCCTCCGCGTCGCGCGTCGGATGATGAAAATCGTGGGCGAAATAATAAAAGTAAACGCGGCAGGAAAAAGAAAGAATAATTGCTCGAAGGTTCAATGAATTTAGACAGATGGAACGTTTATCCCATCCGATGATTGGCTCTCACCTGTACGCGCTCTCATTGATTGAGTACTCCGATTCTTTCGAGAAATTGCACATTCGAACATCCAAGTGGATAATATACGAGCAGGATGTCATGGCCGCTTCGAATGATTCTCCAGCTGGAACAAATTTTATTGCCGTTTTTTGCATCATAGTACAAATCTTCGAAGAGCATATTCAAGCATTAGATTCTTGTAAAATTATGCATGTTGGATGGGAAATTGTTTAGATGTAACAATACAATAATTTTTTAAGTTTTAGAATTAACAGAATTGTCATTTTCTAAGAATTTTCACAAGGTTATTAATTAATACGTGTACTACTTTATAATTATTTTGTTATTCTTATTTTTTAAAAATCTATTAATATATATAATATTTATATACATAATATATTTATATATAAAAAATGTTAGTTTCCTTTATACACGATTATCTCGATTATATCATTTATAGATAATTTTACAGATCTTTCAAAGATTTTTCCTTTAAACTTTTCCTTTTTTTATTGACGAATTATATTTCTACGGAAAGAATATTCGCAAAGAAAAAGATTCTATATAATAGATAGATTCTATATAAGAGTCAATTTTTCTTTCAATACCAGTCAATCCAAAATCGTTGTTTGATAGATCGAGAGATAAGGTCTCGAGTTGCACATAACCGGAAGAAAGGACTCCTGCAAGCGCTATGCCGGCTTCAGAACCTAATTCACAGCCGCTGATGTTCAAAGTTTCCAAAATTTTGTTTCTCACTAGAACTACAATAAAAATGATAACTTATAATCAAACATATAGACACAGATATTTCTTATAGATAAATAAACGATATTTTCGCAAGAGATTTGTCATAAGCGATATAAAAAATTATAAAGTAAATTATATAAAAATAAAATTATCCTGAAAATAATCATTATTTATTAAACTCAGCAATGTTTCTTGCACGCAATCGTCTATCATATATAATATTTTCTGTCAAGATACTTTTTTCCCCTTCAGTTATATAATCTGCAAATGTCAACCCCGAAGTTTTTCAACAAAATTAAAAAAAAAATGCCAAGCTCAAAAATTACCGTAAAGTGTATTTTTTGGAACTTTTTTATTTATACAGATGCAAACTTGATTCTATAATTTTGATAAGCAACACACGTATATTGTACATCCGGGAACATATCTCTGAGAAATTGCGACGGTGATTTTGCACTTGTAATGGCAAGTGCTATTGCCCTTTCATACATTTTTATATGTAATGAGAGTTTCGGTCACGTTCCGCGTGCCGTAACATGCGATCTGTATGCACGCGCATGCCGCGATTTGCTATTCAGTTTGCATTTATTTAAATAATTCAGCATGCCGCTTATGCCATGTTTTCTCGACTCGCGGGTCGATTATGCTATGCTAATGTTTCGAGATTATATAAAGAATTTAGCCTTTTTTTTAATTGGCAATAGCAGCACCGCGACCTTATGCTGCGAGATCATAGATAGACTTTCTTTCGGTGGTACGTTTAGAAGTACGACTAACATAAGCAATACACAACGTTTCAAAATAAAATTCAAGATAAGGATACCTTTCTTAATTTGAATTTTTTTCAGCGTTTAAAGGTTTGCATTTTCTTATCTAAGCATTTTCTGCGCATAAAACGTTAATGATCGTTCAGCTGAATTTTGCAAAGATATATTAAAAGAGACGTATTATTTATTTTCGAAATAATTAAAAAAAATTCGCTGCCACCTGTTATTTGTCATGAAAATTATATTCGAGAATGCAGAACATATAGATTTTGAAAAATCCGATTTTATCATTAATCATATACACGTATAATGATAAATATTAGTTTTAAAAGGGGGAAGGGGAGAATGGTGTCGGATTATGAAAAATGTTCCATTATTTGGCGAGAATGCAACGCATCCGTACACCAACGCCCCGGATAAAGCAGCACTACACGCAACATTAAATTTCAATTTACTTCGGCGAGCTTTATATTACCCGAGTACTAAATTCCGTAGAAAACAAATGGATAATCTCCGGAGTAGCGCTGCGTTTTCAAAGAAACAAAAGAATCGTATTTACAGGGTATATTGTTATAGAATAAAGATAAAGAAACAGAATTGTAGAGAATCGTCAAATCTAATCACGTGTCTATTTATACTCATCACTCTATCTCTTTCCTGGAAAGATTATCTTATTAGAACGTAAGTGATAAATAGAGTTGTTTATCGGAATTTGTATATATTATTTATAACGATATAACTAAAAATTGGAAGATGGCAAAAGTTGAAATGTACAATGAAAATTTAATATCACGCATAAATATTTATGATTTTATTAAAAGATAGATCTGAAAGTCGTGAGACTTATCTAGGAGTTTATAAGCTAAAGAATATAATCCGATAGTGAATTTTAATGTATTTGCGTTCACTACTAAGTTATTATATTCATGTACCCGACGGAAAAACTTTTCGAAGAATCTTTTTTTAAACACTTGTTTAAAAACTCGTCGATCTTTTCATCGCGAAACTACTGGCAGCGAGTTAGATTCCTTTGATACACAGGATGCTTTATCCAAAGTTTCGGGGCCACACAATTTAAACCGCGAAACTTTTTCTATATTATTTTTTCTTTATCTCATATACAGATTTGGAAAGAGAGATAACTTGTCTTTCTCTATCTTTTTCTGGATCCTAAAATTAAATGAAAAATATTAAATATTAATATATTGAGAGAATTGATAATAAGCGAACATTATTACTAGCTTCTCGAGAAATAAGAATATACTTCTGCTTTTGAACAGAAATGCTGAATGCGAATTTTGCTTCCTTTTCTCTTGAATATTTTGCATTGTTGCTTGATATCATCGACGAAAAGCGGCATTACGAAAACGCTTACGTGGACTTACGAGCGCATACGTGATCGCCTCCCTGGTCTTGCAGGGGGTTCAGTCTGAGATCCAAATTTTTCAGAGCAGTCGAGCTTGCTTTTAATATTCCGTGAACTATCCCAGCCATTCCAATCGGCCCTATATTGTTGTTCGTCAAATGCAGAGTTCTCAATTTCCGATGCATCGATAGAAATTCGCCCACTGCGTGCGCACCGGTGTCCATCAACTTGCAATGCGACACATCCAGTTCTTCGATCTGTATCCGAGATAATTGAAACATATAAGTGTGTGCATTGTATATATACGGTGACTGAATTCAATAAAATTCGCCATTATGTGATGCGTCGGAAAGAGAAATTGTGATACTTGCGATTATATCATTCTCAAAATATTATCTAGCAGTTAGACTAATAATATTTAGATATTACTAGACAGTATCTAGTGCCACTCTTTTTTGTTTAATTGTCACGATAAAAAAATATTGAGATAGATAACATTTACAGTCAGACTTTAATTCTTCTTTTTCATGGAAAATCTTGTATTTTTAAAATTTTTAATCGAGAACAACGCGGTTCGTATCTCGCTCACATAAAGAAATTATCTACTAACATTATCGTTCGACACCATTCCTTGAAGAATAGCGGCGATTCGGTGCTGATCCAAGTTGCTGCGGGTTAAACTGAATTTCTTCAATTTCGGGCTGGCTTTAATTCCTTCCCCCAGACTTATGCAATCCTCCAATGAGAATCTGTTCGAGCGATAAATCTCTTATCGATTCTATCCCGAAAACGGGATCTTCCCTTTATCCCCCGCGCTCGCTAAACTTACTCGAAATCCCGCCACTCAAAACCGTCGTCCATATAGATCATACCAAAGTTGAGGTAAATTTCGGTGAGATGCGGGAATTGCGGAAGTATAATTGCCATGGGAATATGATGCGCGACGTCCTCTTGTAGGGCAGATTCGCCATCCTCCCCGTTAACTCGCTTTATCTGCTTTCTGTAAGTAGCAAAATAATGCAAACGTGATTCTATCAGCGATCAGTTTTTTATCGATGAATGCCTTTGGTAACCAAAGCGCGATAATAAAAAATTTTTAACACATGATATAAATATTGCAAATTAATTATGAAATTTAATTATGAATTTATTATTTATTTAAAAATAATTTAGCTAATTAATTAACTTTATTAAATTGATTGCTAATTAAATTTATTAATTAACAAATATTATGGGAGTGTTTTAAAAAGTTTATTGGAGCGATTAAAAAAGTTTTAATTTCGTGATAACTCTATTTTATAATTCTACCGTTATGTATATGTATGTACTTGTCATATTTATTCTGAGTTTTTATATTACATCCGTATTATTAATTAAATTTCAATGAAAGTGTGTAGAAAGAAGCAATATTTTTTAATACGGAAAAGAAAATATTTTACGTACTTCCGGGACATATCGTGTAATAAATTCACATGTAATGTCCGGCGTATGCAAAAAATTAGTTCGAATGTCGTTACTCAACGATTTATTCGCACGATAGTTAATGTATTAAAGCGAATCGGGACTTTGATCAATATTGGACGATGGATTACACTACATACGTATGCATCGCGTATGTAGAGGCATGGTTGCACGATAGCCGCAGTGAATAATTGAAGAACACGCACATGCCTGGTCATATTAACCGCCATATGTATGATAGAGATATGTCGGATGTACTAGATTGTGTGATATAAAATGGAATTTCATATAATGAATTCATACATGCATCGAAAGAATAATATCAGAAGTTTACGTACACTAATTAATCTAGCATATTAATCGCATTAGCTATGAATAATATTTTGCGCAGGAAGTATCTTTATAAAAGAATACTTTTTATTATTTAAAAAAGAAATTGAGATAAATATATTTATAAAGAAATGTCTCTATAAAATTCATTAATTATTATTTATTACTAAAATTTCTATTCACATGTATTGTGAAAGATTCTTTCATAATATATTTTTCTTAGTTGCCTGGAATAAAAAAATATTAAAGAAAAGAAATAAAATTCTCAGACATGTCGCGATAAAAAAAAAAAAACACACATTTCATGCAATTCAAATAAAAGCGAAGATAAATCTTACTAGCGGATTTACGGATCGCTCTAAAAAGGGAGCAGCCCGGTGTGATCTGAGAAAATTACTTTCCTCAAGATCTCTCGTGGCTTCTAATTAAATACAGCTGCGTTCTCCAAACTAGGATTCGCAGAGCGGTTGTCTTTGCGGAACGAGATAACGTTTCCTTGACTCGCAATTTTGCTTATTAAAAATGCATACATTATGCGCCGCATAATGAGAGACACGTTTTTGAAATGCGCCGCGATGGATCGCAAAGAGACTTCTAGAGGGGAGTCCAGTATTAATTTAAATTAGTTTTAGAGTTTGAAAGCTTGATTATAGAAAATTGCGTAAAGACATGCGACGAATAAACTGAATTTAAAGCAAATAGAATCCTTAGACGTTAAAAATATATTATACTTTTAGCTTTAAAAATCGTTATCTTAAAAAACATGTTTTGATATTCTAGCTGCAATTTTAAATCAATCTTGTTTTAATAGATTTAATAGAATCTTTAATAGATTTAATCTTTAATAGATTTAATCGAAACATAATTGCTGAGATATTTAATGTCGAAAATATTAAAATGGTTAAAAAGGAATAAGAATAATAAATTTATTACACACAAATCCCTATCATTTCATTTAAAACAAAAGAATTTTTTTAAAGAAAAAGATGATGTGCAGTGCGTTTCCACTGTAATATAGCTTAGTCATACACGGAATAAAAATCACATTTTTTTAATTTTTCATAAAGTTCATATCACTACACTTTTTTGCGCGTTAATAATACGGGAACTCTGCAAAATTCACGTGTGTGTAAAAGTTAATTAATTTTTTTTTTCTGGAAAGAGTACGAGAGTACGAAACCATTTCACTTATTTTATCCGGAATTAGTTTTGCAAGCGCTATCGCGGAATTCTTTCCCGTATTACATACCTATTCCAACTTCGTTACAGTAGCAATAAGAGACTATCTCTATTCTGCCGACTCCGCGCGACCATAACTATGTAAATTTACCTTTGATACTTTTTAAACAGTGCCCTTGTTCTCCGGCAACATTTTATAAATGCGGTCTTATAAAGAAAAGAAACAAAACTGAAATGACAGCGAAGCGAGCATTGTTCGCAATGTGTATTCATAAAACGCTTCAAATACCCTACCGTTTTTTTTCGAACATGTATTAAAATTGTTGTATATGTATAGTCGCGAAATTAGAAAATACAGAAAAAGATTCCGCTCGCGAGATTTTTATAAATATGGTAATTATTTTGTAGTATATAATTATTTATTTTTAGATATTTATATATATATGATTATTATATAATTAAGAATATTTTCACAGATCATTAGTAATTATGTTTGCATATGTAAAACTATTATTATAATTTTTAATAAATTTTATCATGGTGAGATAATACCTACAGAAAGGAGATGTGTTTTGCTCACACGTTCTCTTGTCGTAACTTGCATCTGCATTACTTTCTACTTTGTAAGTGAGCGCTTGTTAGCCAGCTTGTCTAAAATCAACTGTCACACATATCAGCTTGGTCGCGTTGTGTTGTAATTTCGCGCGAAAATTTACACCGCTCGGGATCTAAAATTGCTAAACGGCCGTGGCAAATTGCTAGCGTTGTATATCCCGCTGCGTATAATTAGAATCCTCAACTTTAACAAGTTTATTTGCTTGCGAGTCCGTCACGTTTAGATTTTGGTAAACTCGGCGTGATAAGCACAGATTCACACGAATGTCTTTCAAAAGGTTGCACAAGCGTTACCGGTACCTCGATAATGGATCGAATTGGAAGATATTATAATCGTGAAAGATCGAAATATCTTTTCCTTAACAAAGAACATCTCGAGACACCCAAATACAATAGCTTTTATGCACTATAACTCTATGGATAAAAAAAATATTTTGCGTGCCGCAATATTTCATTGAGGCATCTCGCGTTTTTGTTAGCTTCAAAATATTAGTTTCAAGATTTTTTGCCGAATGATAGCGATATAAAGAGTTTTCGAAATGGAATAAAAGGTCCAAATAGAGAGCAAAGCGATTGAATCTCTTTCGAAGGAAAACAAACGAATCAATCGAATCGCAAACATTCACACACAGCAGCAAATGAAAGTACTGTATTTGCCGTTGGGGAAAGTGATTGGCAGTGTCGGGAGAAAGACAGGGCAATCCATCTGATCTCCCGTACTGCTTCGAGCCGGAACGAAGACTTTTCGCATCTCGTAAGAGGAGACCAGTGTTAAAAACCACGTCGAAGACCACGTTGAAAGATAAATTTTAAATAGCTACTGATAATTTATAAACTAATCCATGATATCGCGACGACATTATGATTCAAATAGAGAGGAAGACTCTCCGATATATTCGCGATTTTTCGACATGTATTCGTGTATTATAAGTGGCCTCCTAGATACTCCGGCCAATTATAGAACCGGCTGCCACGCTTTCGCGCGATATTTACACGCAAGAGTCCATCGCACTTCTCTGGATCTTCAAGTGCAAGCACTTACAGTTTTAGCCGACAAACTGACCGGTTCTAATAATAATTTTCGGATGTTCCCGGCCGGGCGTAAATTCGTCTAACTATGAATTTCGGCGCAGCGTGTATGTGGGGGGCGATGCAAGGTCCGCTTGCAAGCTCTGGCAGTGCACAGATATCTGTTACTACTACTCGACACGATGATCCATAAATACGGATTAATTTTTCATTAATGAGTCTTAGCAAATTCTTATATACTTGTACTTTAACAGGATCGTTTGTGAAAAAATTATGATGTCTGAATTTCGACTTTGTAATTAGACAGATGAAGCTCTGCTTCGAGATATTAAATTTAGAATGATTGTAAATTTTTAATTCGCGTCATAATATATTAAATATATTATATAATATATTAAATATATTATAAAAGCTTAAGATTTAACAAAATTAAAAAAAAAAAAAATAGAAGCTTATATCGAATAAAATTAGAATACGCAAAATTCGTGCGCACAGTCTCTCTTTTTATAAACAGTCTCTTTTTGGTTCAAGGTATGTAGATGTTAGTTTTTTATGCACGCGGATCTTGTAGAAAATCAAGTCAAATTCTCCTAACTGTGGATACACAGTTGTTCTGGTTTACCTTGATTGTTCTCTTGCGCACAAGAATTAGTTTTAAGGATTCGGTAAGTGAACTCGTCTTACTTGGTGGGCACGAGAGTACGAAGTCTTATGATGTGTATGTAATCCTTGAGAAGAGCCATTAATTTCTCGCATTTCTCTCTTTGAGGCTCGAAGTAGCTCGCTTCCAAAGTTTCCAGATATTCAGCTAAGTGCCGCTCGCAATATAACCGTCGCCATGAATCGCCATATTTGCCCGGATCGTTCTGTTCCCACCTGCGCTAATAGAGAAATTAATTCATATATACATACGCGCGATCACTTAAACACGTGTTGTCTTATCAATTAATTATATGACTTCAAACATTTCTAATTAAGAAAATTAAAATTGTTTCGTATTTTTACGAATAAATACCTCTTTCATTAAAATAAAAACATTTGAATAAAACAGATATTTCGAGATAACTAAACCACGGAAATTAAAACGAGAGATTAAAGAAAGATTAATATTATATATTATTAAAATCAATTAATTGAAGTGAGAGAGAGAAAAAAAGATTAAGATAAGATTGGAACAAGATTAAGGTCAATTAACGTCGAATAAAATCGAACGTAATTAATGTGTAATTACGTAATCACGTAATACATTTCACGTAATAGTACTCGATCGCGGGAGGATATTTCGCATAATCGCGCAGATCGACAAGATAATATATTAAATATATTATATAATATATTAAATATATTATAAAAGCTTAAGATTTAACAAAATTAAAAAAAGAAAAAAATAGAAGCTTATATCGAATAAAATTAGAATACGCAAAATTCGTGCGCACAGTCTCTCTTTTTATAAACAGTCTCTTTTTGGTTCAAGGTATGTAGATGTTAGTTTTTTATGCACGCGGATCTTGTAGAAAATCAAGTCAAATTCTCCTAACTGTGGATACACAGTTGTTCTGGTTTACCTTGATTGTTCTCTTGCGCACAAGAATTAGTTTTAAGGATTCGGTAAGTGAACTCGTCTTACTTGGTGGGCACGAGAGTACGAAGTCTTATGATGTGTATGTAATCCTTGAGAAGAGCCATTAATTTCTCGCATTTCTCTCTTTGAGGCTCGAAGTAGCTCGCTTCCAAAGTTTCCAGATATTCAGCTAAGTGCCGCTCGCAATATAACCGTCGCCATGAATCGCCATATTTGCCCGGATCGTTCTGTTCCCACCTGCGCTAATAGAGAAATTAATTCATATATACATACGCGCGATCACTTAAACACGTGTTGTCTTATCAATTAATTATATGACTTCAAACATTTCTAATTAAGAAAATTAAAATTGTTTCGTATTTTTACGAATAAATACCTCTTTCATTAAAATAAAAACATTTGAATAAAACAGATATTTCGAGATAACTAAACCACGGAAATTAAAACGAGAGATTAAAGAAAGATTAATATTATATATTATTAAAATCAATTAATTGAAGTGAGAGAGAGAAAAAAAGATTAAGATAAGATTGGAACAAGATTAAGGTCAATTAACGTCGAATAAAATCGAACGTAATTAATGTGTAATTACGTAATCACGTAATACATTTCACGTAATAGTACTCGATCGCGGGAGGATATTTCGCATAATCGCGCAGATCGACAAGACGCAAAAACTCACCTGTCCTTGGCCGCGCGTTCCCAATAAAATCCATCCTCGATTCTCGTTATCGTCATCTCGAAGGGGAGATCAGTCGGCAGTGTTTCCAGCAGCACGTCTCTGTCGACGCACGTCGGCAGATCATCCAGAACAGGATTATCTTTCCACGCCGAGACTATTGCGCGAAGCGCGAGTATCTTCAAATCGGGGATTACGCCGTCGTCCCATGAGACGTCCTCCGCTCGCAGCGTTCTTCCTTGCTCCTGTGGCAATAGCGACGTCACCGGCGAGCACCTGCGAGCCAGTTTGGTTTTTAGGACACATGATTATATTTTGTTAAACAAATACGCGGTATTATCCTGCTGCATAATGAATAATATTTATTGTAAAGCTGTTTATTTTGAGCATCACGTTAATATCTCGTGTTACAGAATTATATTGTCAAAATGTCATATTATTTTAAAAACTGCTTTTACCATATATTTTGTTATAAAGAAATCTCGTGTATATACGGAGATCAAAATATACGAGACGAGAAAATGATAAGGAAAGATAACACGACCCCGGAGCTCTCGTTTATTCTATTCTATTTTATTTTACCTGTAAGCGGCTACAACGTTCTTCGATATACTGTGCGGAATCCTCATTGTTCATATTCGTTCCTGCATAAAAATGAGAGATAGCTTTACTACTTCATGAAATATCTTTAGAGATGATTAATGATACATGCGCTCTCGCTGTTTCGATGGCCTCATTCAATATATGCAAGAATATGGCAATTAATAAAGATATTATTTATGCAATTAGCTTACAAACTATTTTGTGCGACCCAATATCTCGAAGTTAAGGGGTATTCCTAGTTTGAAAGAAAAAGTTATTGTTCGTGGCGAACATGATTCCAATCGTTACAGTCATCTGAAATAAAAAAAACAAAAAGATTCTTGATATGTATGAGTGTGACTATCGTGCGAACTAGAATTAAATCGATATTTGCAAAATTCGAATTTTGCGACTTACAAAACTAACCAATTTTTTTGGTGAAAAATGAAATTCTTTTTTGAAACGCTTTTTTTATTTTTTAATATTTTTTTTATTTTAGTTCACGATAACCACACTCATACAGATTAAGAATCTTTTTTTTTTTTTATTTCGGATGAGTATAACGGCTGGAATCATGTTCGCCACGAACGACAATTTTTTTTTAGGCACCCTGGTTGGACTATATACTATAACTCTCCGAAACAAAAAAATATTTTTGTTTGAAAAAAATTCAGGATATACTTGAAATGTTATTTAATAAATGTGCATAGTTTAGAATTAATATGTTTTATACTTTTCTTTAAAAAAATTCCCAAGAATCCAAAATTCGAATTTTGCGACTTACAAAACTAACCAATTTTTTGGTGAAAAATGAAAGTCTTTTTTGAAACACTTTTTTTATTTTTTAATATTTTTTTTATTTTAGTTCACGATAACCACACTCATACAGATTAAGAATCTTTTTTTTTTTTTATTTCGGATGAGTATAACGGCTGGAATCATGTTCGCCACGAACGACAATTTTTTTTTAGGCACCCTGGTTGGACTATATACTATAACTCTCCGAAACAAAAAAATATTTTTGTTTGAAAAAAATTCAGGATATACTTGAAATGTTATTTAATAAATGTGCATAGTTTAGAATTAATATGTTTTATACTTTTCTTTAAAAAAATTCCCAAGAATCGCCTTATTTTCAGAGCGTCAAACTAAGAAGACTCCTTAAAACGATCCATGTGATTTTGCGCTTGGTTGATGGAAGAACGAGTGTTCAACCAATGTATATATTTTCTCAAGCCACACGAAATATCGTCGGTTTTGTCCGAGCAAATGGTTGGTGGCGTATAATGTATAGAGTGTCGCTTAATCCCACTCCGATAAAACGCTCGCGGAACTGAGTACGATCATTTTTCACGATCTTTTCTTCCTCTTCTTCCAGGAGTGTCCCGAGGGAGTGGTGCACGAGGACTCGTTCAAGGACATTTACGCGAAATTCTTCCCGCACGGCAGTGAGTTCCAATTAAATAACAGCCCGCGTTTTTGCGTAATTAGTTAATGGCCACCCCTCATGCGAATTGCAGACTCCAGTCTCTACGCCCACTACGTGTTCAAGGCCTTCGACGTTAATTGCAACGGGGCCATCAGCTTCAGGGTAATTAAGTCTCTCGTGTAATATAGTCTTTTCATTAATTTTAAATCGTCCGTTATGCTCTCGCTATGCGTTTATCTTAAATGAATGACAGCGCCCGACGTGTATCCTCATCGTGCGAAGAACTTTTTCTTAGCGTGTCTTAAGTTCTTAACGTTATTACACACAATTATACTTACCGGGGAAACGCAGCAAGAGACTACTCGTAAATTATTAAATTTATTAAAATATATTTTATTTATCCATTGGCATACTTTTATAATTGATTATATCCAGAAATACATCTCGTACAATAAAGAGAACATGTATTTTATTTACAAGAGCTTTCGTAAATAACTTCAATATTAATCATAATAATAATAATTTATTAAAGGCATGAAGTAGCTCAATTGTCATCAATTTGTATATTTAATGCATTATTACGAGCAATTATGTAATTTAATTTTGCGTATGTCTAATTCAGATTCGATCCGGTGTTTCGCATATTTGTGTTTGCACTTGTGCGGTCATACGTCGATGTTGACACTCGAGTGAAACACAAGGGAGGAGAGATGTGAAATTCACCGGACGAAATTTCGGATGGGAAATTTCCGAATACGCGCTAAACGAGTGAACGCGATTCATTTATGCATCCCGCGATAATCGGCGCCGATTGGCAAGCGACGAACATGCTCGCCAATTGAGCGCGCGTTGCTTATCGGACGAATAATTAATGGTTTTTATGCGATAAGCGCAGAGAAGCAAATGAACGCCGACGATCATTCGTCATCTCGCGAATGTCGCATATGAAAATCTATCGCAGTTTGGCACGAGGGTATACGATATCGAACCTTTCGACGGTTCGATGCGGTACATCGTTCACATGGGACCTGAACTAGAATATGCCCTCGACACGTGGAAACAATTCCATTTGATTAATTTCCGTCGCTTCCGCATCCCGGATGCTCCGCGCGCGTTTTCAAAGTCCTCTTTCTCCCGCGAAGGGTTTTCGTATATATAAGCGCATCCGCAAATGACTCTACAACCATCTCTGTGATTACATAAAGTAATTACGTATGCTGCTGGCAATAAAATGCAGGAACGGTGACATAATTTCGTTCAATTTCAGTTAAAGTTAATAACTTGGTAATTCAAATTTAAAAATTCAAAGAATACATTGCCCCATTTTCAAAAATTGCGTCAGTACTGCAATTATAATTAATAATCTGTTGTAATATTTTTATATCAAATTATTCAACACTTCTTGCGCTGCAATTTCGTTAGAACTTCGGAGCAATTTTATTTCATGACGGACGATGTGTGTTAATAAATATTTATTTTAAAGAGAAATTTTATTTTAGTTCGTGCTTTTTGTTTTTCGCCTTCTTTGATGTTAATTTACATTCAAATTATTTCTCATTATTCGTTGAATTGCGAAATCTTATTTCGCCTTTTGTTAATATCACAAAGCGGACGATTTCAATGGACGGATGAGATTATCTGATCAGAACAATAGAGGGAGAGAAAAGCGCGCGGCGAAAAACCGTTTCGTCACGCTTCGGATTTAACGTCGCGAGTTAAACGACTTTAAGACAATCCCGGGGATTGCAGGATCTCCTCGTGACACTGTCGACCTTGCTGCGGGGCAGCATTTATGAAAAACTGAGATGGACCTTCAAACTGTACGATATAAATGGCGACGGCTGTATCACCAGGAGCGAGTTGGGCGAAGTCGTGACGGCGGTCCACGAGCTCATGGGTAAGCGACATCAAGCCGAGGAGGAGAGGAAGGCGAGGGAACAGCTGGACAGGGTCTTCAAGAAACTCGATCTCAACCAGGACGGTGTTATCACGATCGAGGAGTTTATCGAAAGTTGTTTGAAGGTACGTGTCCCACCTGGCCGTGAAATAACTGCGAGAATGATCGAGTAAAAAAGTATACGTTATACTGAGTGTCCCCAGCGTCGCTTTCCTTTCGTCTCTAAACGTATTCTTTCATTTATTTACGACTGACCTTTATTCAATATTTCGCCGTCGCATAAGCTCGATTTTCATACGACGACGGAACCGCTATTTACATTTTACTAATAACTCGGGCTTAGTTGAATGGAAAAAGGCATAGTGAATCTGGGACACTCCGTAAGTACTCCCTACATAAATGAACGCCAAGTTCCTCGAGACGTACGACATGTCCTAGATCTGCGAGCTGTTTCTTTTAACTACGATTGCGCTTCAACCAGTTTTGGAACGAAACTCTTCTGCGAGAGAATGAAAAGCTCATAATTTTTTCCATGTCATATATCTTGAATTAACTATATATCCGATTATATTTAAAATAAAATTTGTCTACTTCTCAACATCGAGAAATATGATATCCTATTATATATATTTTTTAATTAACATGAAAATTGATTAGGCAGAATTATTCTTAATTACGTTAAAGAATAAATATTTTCAGAATTCGATTCTTCGATTGAAGCATTCGTTATCACAAAAATTTACCGTACAATATTTATAACGTAATATTTTCTACATTCGCAATAGAAAATCTCTCAAACGATAAATGCATGCGCGATTTTATAGTATATTTTATTACAAGCATGTATCATGCTTGTAGCAAAATGGACAAAAGGGCGCCGGAGATTGATCGATGTTTATGGAGCTTGCGCGAACTTGTTCAGCATTTTCGTCGCGATGGTATAACAATATTCTGTGCGAGATGTATAGATTTTTTTCCCTTGTTTCGCGAAAATTTGACATGAGCCGAAATTCTCGAAAATAAAATCGTGTTGCTCTCATATGACGAATTTTACATGCAGGACGACGTGATCACACGATCGCTGGCGATGTTCGATTGCGCGCTTTGATCTCCGGCTAAGGACGAGCCTCCAGCAACAACGGTTAGCAACACGACACCGCCGACGCCGCTCTCGACGACAACGTTCTCGCAATCCCTGTCCCCGTCGCCACCACCGCCGTCCTATTCCCTGCTGCCGCCTATCCCGCCGCCCTTGCCCTCTCAACCGCCACCCGGGTACACTGTCCAGGATCAGGAGCTCTATCTACTCCTAGCTGCTCACTGGTGGAACCAACCGGAGGCGCCGCTCTTTTGTTGAAGGTGAATTTCTCGAAGCCCTCTAGATTTCCCGATATCCAAATGAGATCGAGGGAAAGCTTTCTCCGCGGGATAGGCACTTCTCGAATATAGTTCCTGTGAAAATCGAGAATATTGGAATAGCTATACGAGATAGTGAAGCGCATTAATTTAACTACTGGATTTTTTGATGAATTCGGAAGCGATTTTTCCTCGACAGAAATTTGTCGAGAGAGAGAGAGAGAGAGAGAGAACAAAACTTTTTTTTATTTTTGCCGCGCGCACGCGAATTCTCTTTTCAAATCTTTATTATTATTTTACCAACTCTAAACATCAAGCTTTAAACTCATATTAAAGCAAAACATAATTATGAATAAGAAACAAAGTACCAATTTTTATTCTTTCAAGTTTAATTCGTTAAAATTCCTACAGAGTTTATAATATTCTACTATTTTTTCAAAATTTTTTTCCTCGATCTCATTAAATCTTTTTGATTTAAAAATCTTCAAAATTTCTCTTTTTTAGGGCAACGCGATAGCACGGCTCCTTATGACATAAAATAGCAATCGAGGTCTAAGTCTGTGGAATCGGAGAATGGACATATTGTTGTCCCTTCGTTCTATAAAACGTCACAGTATAAGAATACGAAGCAAAATGTTATCCTCATCCTCGCAGATCGGAAGCTTAGTGAAGGCTCAAGAAAGCCGCTTCGAAGACAGCACGCGAAATATCACAAGACCATCGCCGCTTTACCATCAAGACAATCTTGCGGAGAAATGCGACTATTCTGCGACGACGAGATCCCGGATATTTCGGCAATCGACACTTGGCGTCAATTTCTGGCAAGAATCAAGCGGAGTTACGTAATCTACGGAATTATCTTCGATCTCTAAGGTCATACAACTGACATTAATAAACGAGATAAGTACCTGGACTCTCTTCCATTGCGATCTCATAATTAGATACGAAGAATGGCGTTTAAAAAGGATAATCTCGAAAATAGTAAAATAATAAAATGATATCGCGCGAAAGCTCAAACAAGATACGCGCGTATTCCTTTCTATGACTCGCTGCGAACAGATTCTGCGATCGAAAAATCTGTTATCGCGGATCTGTACCAAATCATAATGTTGTGGACGACGGCGATAAAAACGGCGGTAAAGTGCAATGCGTGATTGTCGGAAATGCGGCACGGAAACGATCATAAATCGCTACAAATGTCAAAAAGATATTTGTAGAACATTGTCGGAAAAATGTCGCATTCAATGTCTTGAATAACATTTGAGTTATCTGCACAATTCTGCTCGTACAATAGGTGTTAAACACGAAGATTAACGAATCGATTGCGTGACTTTGTGTTGCTGGAAACAACGCATCCTCGTGATCATGCGATTCAATCTTAAATACGCGTCTCCTCTCGTTTCGTACTTAAATATATTTTCTCCCAATAATGCTTCACGCGATCGTGGTATAAAAAATCTCCCGTATCGAGAGATTAACGTGAATCCCATGGGTTGGTAGGTTGCTTTAAGTTAAAAAAAATTTATTTGTAAATAAATTTTATATACAAATTATCTTTTTTGGCGAATTCATTTCATTAATTTTAGGACTCTGTATAATGTAATATGTGCAAATTGATTTTTAGCGTTTATTATTTTGTTCCAACTTCCTGTGTAATTGGTGAATATCCGCCAATTTCTTTATATTCTCCCCAATTTTGTAACCATTCATCATGATCGCGTGGTCGCAGCGATTATGTATCGTGAATAGTAACTGCGAGGCACGGCACATTGATTATAGTTAGACGTGATGACGCGTCGATTTTCCTCGACTAGATCGTTAGCCGCACGATCGTTGATCATAAATATCACACGTACGTATTTTTCGTTAGTAGGTTCGTAGGTTGATACTTCATTATACGTCCTTTTCTAGATCCGATTGTTTCTGACGGGCCACGCGCAAGCGTTCAATATTTATTATTGACGAATTTTTCGTCAATAATAATTCTATTTAGTTATTATAAAATAACGCAAATTTATATCGCGATCGATATATATTTTTATTTATTAATAGAAATTATTAATACAATCTTGCTTTTTGTACACTTGGCCTTTACATCCCGACTTGTCGCGGTAAAATATTACCACAATATTAAATAAGATTTTTTATCAAAGTGTACATCTTTGATTTTATCAATTTTTCTCTCGTTACTTTTCTTGCGATAATAGTAAATGCGATGTTTATCGCATTCAATCATATCGTCGGTACTGAAACACTGACAAGAGATATTGATCGCTTGCGGGCTCCTTATAAGCGTCCATAGTGTGTATCATGTTGTAGGTGTACGTGCGTGAGAAGCATCGATTTTCTAATATATCTGTTATTGCGAGTCGTAGGCGTGCGGGCGTGCGAGCATATGTCAGACTAGCGAGTAGCAGCCCGAGTGGCGATTATTAATTATCAAAATCGATTACAATGAAACACCAAAAGAGCTACTACTGTAGTTAGCTGTTATTTAAGTAAACACATATAATAATATAGTGCGGTTTATATAGTTAAGATAAATTCGCGATTAAAAGAGGAAGATAAAAGAGAAAAAGAAAAAACACGCAAGTCGTCGAATAATTGACGTTTATGATCGTACAACTTTGGGAAAATTGCATTATTTTCCAGGAAACACTGTCAATACGCTCTATACAACACACATATACGCAATCACATGTACCTTTTTCAAGTAAATCCTACGTCCCCGTTGTTTCGCATCGGGCAGATACGAATCGTCGTTGATCGTCGTTGCAATTTAATCGGTCGTGATTCACCGAGCTCGCGCGCGTCAAGTGTAATCACTCAAGTCTGCTCTCGAGGAGATCTCGTTACTGAGCAAAGAGGCGAACACCTTTGGCCGCAAACTAGCTTTCACCTTTCACGGGAGTCAAGAATACGCGAGCGTTGCTAAGCTACATCTGGCGCGTCTCTATAACAACGATTAATAACGACGAAATCGCGATTTTCAAACGAGCGCAGAATAACGTTACTAGATTGAGTTTATGATGAATCCATATAAGACAGAGATTCGCGTACAATAGGATAAGTCGCCGGAAACAGAACATTTTAATATCTCTCTTGAAGATTTAAAGACACGAGAAGATTTTTGTAAAACACCATTCAAACGGTTCCCTAAGAAGACTGTTTCTTTTCTTTTTTTCTCTTTAGGATCTCTTGCGATTCTCTTTATACACGATTCTCCTATATACTTTTACATATATCACATACCGCATCTCGAGTCTGCGATCGTATTCAGCGGAGGCTAAAAAAATCTACGATCATAAAATGTTAAAAAACTAAACTTGGAATAAAGATATACGTACAATGCCGGCCATTAATTTGTAAACGCTTACAGACAGATTGCGAAACGGGCGATCTACACGACTAGCGATCTTCCAATCAGGAACGCGCAATGTTTATCTATCAGAAAAGAATTACTTAATAAACAAAATAAATCAAGTAGAATGCTTTTATATCGGAAGTTTGATACTCTGTGAGCATTGTCACATTAATGACCGCTACATAAACTCGAATGATACGATTAATTGAATTGAAATCTATTAGCAATTAATTTAACGCTATATCAATGCACGCGATCAACAACAGTGCAAAACTGCTGCAATTAATGCCAGGATAACTGGTCGAGCACCGACAGAAGATTTTTACATTTCTTAGGATACACGAATGTATATCGTATCTTCGAATTTAGAATGATCGATGTAATCTTGTTGGTAATGCCCAGACATCAATGCGAAAATGATCGAATGAGAGATGACAGGATCGCGTTGTTCATTCCATTTCGAAGATAGCGATATATATATTTATTATATATATCTTCCTATGGTCTCTCGTTAATGTGAATTTATACATATATTGCGTTAGCGCCACGAAGATATGTATAATCAAAGACATTTTTCGGAAATACCTACACTTATGTCAAATCTGCCAGCACGTTAATCAATTGTGCGCTATAAAATGTTACGTAACTTGAGAACCTTGGTAAAACTACAAACTGCATTTTGAAACTTTGAGCCGAACTTTTCGAGCGGACTTTTGCTATTATTCGCACACTATTCCAAACCTAATTGAATCGCGCGAGCATAAACATCGGGATAAGTTGACACTTCCCTTTGCTTTTGTACGTATTTCAATGTGAAAGAATATAATATCCTGTACGCGCATAAATTGTACAAACACGGAATACCGTATATTTTTTATAAAGTTTTGTTATCTTTCGCGCGCGAGGCACGAAGCGATATTCGAGCTCTCTGAAAGCATTTCTATTGCGCATCTATTGCGTGTGATAATCAGTAACTTTTGAGATCTGATGAAAAAAAGAAAGAGAAAAAACACAAATTCTCTCCTACAAAAATACTTGTAAAGCATAAAAAATAATGAGATAATTTGCTACTTTTGCCCACATAAACGTTGATATGCACAGATACGCGATTTTTATTTGAATACAATTGATATTTCGCGTTGCTTGATATTTAATAAATAATATCAAAAAGAGACGCCTCTTTCTTTCTCTCTCTTTATAAACTATGAACCGAGAAAGACGAAACGTTACACAAAGCAGAGTATTTAAAATATGCTTACTTCCAAATGATGTATCCGACGTTACACATTTACAAGACGTTATAAATTCTCGAGATAAATTGTCACAATGTTGCCTGAAAAGATAAAAATTAACGATACCAAGCGCTGGATATACATTAATGGTAAATTATTAGAAGTAATAAATTATAAACTCTCGGTTAAAGATAATTTTGCCTCTTACTTTTTAAATATATGACATAGTATAAATTTGTTTTATACACATATTCTCTCTTTCTTACATTATAATCTTTAGTTTTCAATTGCGATAGAACAATGTTGCATGTGTACGAAAAAATTCTGAATCTATTATGTTAGATCAACCGTTAAGGAAACATAAGGATTAGAGAGCGAGGTAACATATAGCTACGTGCAGAAGCGGTAGAAAAGTATAACTCCAGGAAATTTTGCCACGATACTAATTCGATTCTAATATCATTAAAATATTCCATTAAGATAATGTCATATCACCGAATGCGTGTGTCTTAACAAAGATGCGTCAAACATAAATATATCTTTAATTAATGCATGACTAATTTTTAATTTGGAGGGTACGTTTGAGATTGGCCTTCGATTGTCGGGAACGATTGCCCATGAACGGACGCGGTTCCGCATAGCAAACTGAATCAATTGCGATAATCCTCCGAGAGACGACACAAGAAGAGAAAAAAAAAAGGAGAGTTGTAGCTAGCAGTCTAGCTGAAAAGCAACCTAGTCAATTCATTACGTTTAGATTAACCGTACGATTATAAAACTCTTGCGTGACTTTAAACTTAAACACATTGTCGAAGTATTATATTATGATTAGACATTATCAATCACTAAGCGAGGGACACTTTTAGCAAGCGCGGCGCGGCCACCAGTCTTCATCCCGAAAACGTGTGATAGTCACACATACATGCGCATAAAATAGTCAACAGGATTTACGAAGGGAGTCATCAATATTCGAGCAAATTATTTCGACCTTCGAATCTTTATACATTGATTATGCCAGTTAATTAAACATGCATGTATCTGTATTATTACAGTACATATATATATGATTGTATTATTATCATTCTATAATAACACAATATCATCTTTCTGCAGTCTAATTATACTCTGTTTATCATCTAATAGATTTAATAAATCGTTTAAAAATAAATTTGAGTATAAATAACATTTAAATACTTATAAATTTTAAATTGTCTAATTGCATTATCTTGAAGTGTTTTCTAGTATTTGTAATAATTTTTATCGATGTGCAGAAACAATGGAAAGAAATTTTCATTTTGATTCGAATGTAGAAATACATTGGAACTCGAAATATCTGGACGGCTCCCGAATAATAGACTAATATTGCTCGTGGAAAGGATATCACAGTTTATTACAATAGTTAAAATCGTTACGTAATATCACTGGTTATATATTAGAGATGATACAATTGTTGAGCTTGGAAGCACTTTTTTATGGAGAAGTCTCACAGTTAGAAATTTATGATCGATTTTAGCGGAGATCCTACTTCAGGCTCGGATCTATTGCTATAGTGATAATACAGAATACGTTATACTACATAGCGATTATGCAGAATGCGTTAATTATATTGTCTCATACTGCCAACTGTAAATCATCATATGTAGTTTCTAATTAATGACATCGATAGATAATCTCTAGTTAAAGATTATAAGCGTAGGAGAGGGTGGTTTCTTTCGGAACACTTTAAAGAATCGTCGAAATCTTTGCTAATGTCAATGCTTCATTTCTATCTAAAGCGAATGTAATTTTCCACACACACACACACACACACAAACAGCATACGCTTGCACAGATTTTGTTTTCGCGAAATTATTTGGAAAATTAAAATTGCTTTCTTTTACGAGGACTTTCGAAAAATATTTAATTAGACTATATCTCTCTTTATATCCTTTTTTTTAGTTTCGATTAAATACATTTTGAGAAAACAATATACATCTTAAAAAGCCCTTATATATACTTTGTAAGTTACGATCATCCTAGCAATTTGAGATACACACAAAGGCCGATTAGAAATTATTGTAACCACCATTGTGATAGTAATAGGTTTTAGTATAATACAAGAGACGGTAATTCGACGATTGCAGCGCTTTAGTTTTAACTTTAGTTTTAGAAACGAGGAGCAAACATCAAATTATATATCACGCACAAGGCCCAAAATTAAAGACCGATGTAACTTAAACTATTCACTGCTTTTAAATGAGAAAATAAGTCACCAATAAGAAGTGACATACATATTTAACGTAATTATTCGCATTCGAAGAAGACATTAATTGAAAGCTAATGACATTCATAATTTTCTCCATTGAGTGTTATAAAAAAATTCCAACTTTTCATGTATGTTATTTATGTATATGTTTTAATTTATA